TTGTGAGAGAACAGTAAGCTAAGAGATCTCCTTGTGGGTTCACATGGTTTCATTATATATGGTGCCTATTAAGGTAATTGCCCACATGCAAGGTTTAGATTTGGGGATTAGGTTAAGGGTTAAATTTGAGTTAGAGTTAAGGGTGGTTATTTTAGGAATTAATATATGTTATAGGCAATAGATGATTCCTAGGATTAAGTGCTGGCATCAGGTTAAAGGTTATGAATAGGATACAGAACAGGGACATTGCTGGACTTATTTACTGAAAGTGCCATGCTGAGGGCTAACAACAGCAAAAACTAAGAGATCACCCTGAGGTATGTGCAGTGCTTTCATGAGATCTAATGAAATCTTGGACAGTAGGACAGTGTCCTATTGTAATTAATCAGGTTTTAATACATTGTCTAGACTGCAATAAAGATCAAACAAAGATTCAGATGGTTGGTATGGGAAACACTTCCATTTTTGCTCACCTTTTTATATGCATTATCCACAGTGCTTTACATTCAATCAGAATGGATGCTTTAAAAAAAACAGATGTATACAAGAGAATACAACAGCAAAAAGTATTGTGATTACTCCCCATTGCATTGTAATCCTCTTTGGGTCCATAAAAGATTTTGGAACATGGTTCCTCCAATAATAATTGTTTCAGACATATTAAACACTTTAACACAGCCCAATTGTTGCACATGAAGTTGAACCACATTGATTATTTTTATCAGGTCATGTGTGGAATATCCGGAGGAAGTTGATTTTATGAGTTGATTTTTAGTAATGAGCTAAACAATTCTCAAAGGCTAAGGGGGTTATTCACTAAGCTGCAGAAGGCAGCTAAGTGAATAACCAAGCCGAAGCCAGTTTGGCTTTTCACTTCAGCCGTGTATGGCTATTTTCAGCCGTACATCAGCGGGCTTTGGCTCCCTTCACTTCCCTTCGGTTCAGCCAAACAGCCTTAGCATGTTCAGCTGAACCAAAGTGAAGAACCCATTCGCCTCAGCTGATCCAACATTTGGATCAGCTGAGGCTAACGTTTGGCAGTTCAGTCCCTGCTATTCACCTTTATTATCATAGGGGCCGAACAGCAAAGAGTGATAGCAGAATAGGGCTGTGCAGGATTCGGCTCAGTCATTCTGTTTGCTACCTCAGAGGTAGCGAACAGAGTAAGAAATGTCATGTAAACAAAAGTTTAAAAAAACGGCATGGGGTCCCTCTCCCAAACCATACCAGACCTATAGGTCTGGTAGGAATGTTAGGAGGGAACCCCAGTTAAAAAAATGTGTGGGGTTCCCCCAAAGGTCATACCAGACCCTTTAGGTCTGGTAGGACTTTTAAGGGGGAATCCAATGCACAAGAATAAAAGAAAAAAACATGGGGTCCCTTTTAAAATTCCCAACCAGACCCTTAATCCGAGCAGTGGCCTAGTAGGGCAGGAAAGGGGGGAGATGAATGAGTTGCCCCCCTTCCTGCACCATACCAGGCCACATGTCCTCGGTATTGGAAGGATTCTTTTCCGGGGGGGGCTGGAAAAGCACTTTGTTCCCATTCTAAAGGGGACAAGGGCCTCTTCCCCACACCCCTGGCCCGGTGGTTGTGGGGGTCTGTGGGCAGGGGTCTTATCTGCATCTGGGTACCCCATTTATAAAGGGGGCACCCAGATGCCTCCCCCTTTGTGAATGAGTAAGGGTTAGCTGTATCCCTACTTATTCACTAAAGGGTTAAACAAAAAGTTAAATAAACAGACCTGACTTCTGAAAAAATTACTTTAATTGAACAAAAAACAAAGAGTCAGTTTTTGATAATTCCTTTATTTAAAAAAAAGTGTTGCAGCTTTTTTTTAACCTTCAACTGTGAGTTGCTCTTAAGATTTCTACTAAACCTACAGGGTCTGGAATGGTTTGGGAGAGCAACCCTGTGCCTTTTTTTGAGAGGGGGACCCACTGCCTTTTCGGCTGTGTCTTTGGCTCAGCTGAGCCAAAGCATATGCATTCGGCTCGGCTGAGTGCTTCAGTTGCTATTTTGAATAGCTGAACCAAAGGCTTACTGCAGCCGAAATGACCTAAAGGATTAGCCAAATGTTCGGCTTAATCCTTCGGCAGCTTAGTAAATAACTCTGTAAGTCTGAATTAGGCCAATTCAATGCAAGCAACCGATTATTGATCAGCTGTCATGATTGGTTCACTTCTGGTGAATTGGGCATTTTGAATCTATTAACTCAGGGTATTTAAGTGATACTAAACTCAGGAATGAAATCTTAAAGATGCATTCAACTACCTTAACTATTAACAAAAATGTAGCTTATTTGTGGATCACTGAGCTTTGGATCCTCAAATCATCTCTGAATTCCTGCTGACACTGTCCTTCCTTCTGGAGGGTGGTGGCTACTTTACAACACACACAGGGACCATATGGGACAAAAGTAGCCACCCTTCAGAAGGAAGGACAGTGAGGATCTACAGCCGAGTGATACAAAAATAAGGTACATTTTTGTTAATAGGGTACTTGAATGCATTTTTAAGATTTAATTCCTGATTTTAGTGTCACCTTAAGTGAGCAGTAACCAATAAGGATCCTACTTTTTCTGACTGACAGAAGGTGCAGTAGATTATTGAGTGGTATTTCTTCTGCACTATAATGTCATTACCCTAATAATTAACTAATATACTACCTTATTATGGTAATACCTATCTACTAGCTTTAAACTATTACTGTAAATATGCCTATTTACTAGTTAACAACATGCAAATGCGATTTTGGATATCCTCCTGGTAAAACCAATGTCAGAATTCACTCCAACACCAACAACTCAATACTTCTGATATTTGCTCATCACTAGTTTTATAGGCATGCAAACTTGCATGCTTCAAATAAAAACAGCTACTGTATTTAAAAAAAGCATGGCCAAAAAAAGATCTACTCTTTAAAAAAATGGACTCTCTAGTTATGTGGACCAAATGGCATGCTGACCAAGGGGAGATGCTACAACTCTATATATGAAACATAATCATCGACTACTTATTTACTTAAAATAAATACTCACTGGAAATACACTTTAGTTTCTTTTAGTGAAATAAATAGTTGTGTTGATAATATTTATACTGAAGTTTTACATTTCAGAACTGGACTGGTTCCCCAAAGTAGCACTAAAGTAATATTTTATGAGTTCTATTCGTGAGGAGTGTAAGTTATATTGCGAACTAAAAAATTGTACGTTGCCCTATGTAGCCTGCAAACTGCAACACAGTTTCCGTTATACAGGCAGTCCTCAGGTTATGGACGTCCGACTTACGGACAATCGGTACTTATGAACGGGGTCCAAAGTACTCCTAAATGTACCGGCAGCCGCCGGTACATGTAGGAGAACTGTGGCTGCAGCGGCCTGTGTCCCTTCAAATCCCCGCTGCTCTCCGCGCCTGTGTTGATTTCTATGATGAGTGGTTATAATCCTATATCATTTTTTATTATATTATTATCTTCTGAACAACAGGAACAGACAGCAAAACAAAAATGACCCTTCCCAATGCTATCCAAAACTAAAAAAAATTTTTTTGGCTGGAGTTACAATTAAAAAATGTACCTGTTCCGACCTACATACAAATCCAACTTAAGTACAAACCTAAAGTCCCTACCTTGTATGTAACCCGGGGACTGCCTGTATTCAGATGCATATCATTATATTTCTGTTCTCTGTTTCATAGTTACATAGTATTTGAGGTTGAATAAAGACATTAGTCCATCAAGTCCAACCTATTAGGATCTCGTTCTAGGAGTACCTCTACCCCTCTATATTGAGGTCCCTTAAGAAATCGTCCAAACGTTTCTTGAACAATTCTACATTATTTGCTGAAATCACCGCCTGTGGCAGTGAGTTCCAGACCCTAACTGATCTTACTGTAAAGAACCCCCTTCGCCCCTTGTGCTGGAAAAACTTTTTCACCAATTTTAGGTGGTGGCCTCTAGTTTTTGTAATGGAGTTCATTTTAAACAGTTTATCGCTAAAAGGGCTATGGGCATAGATGAGGTGGTGTTAACACACCACCTCATCTATGCCCATAGCCCTCAGCTTGTGTAGCAAGCGTTTGTGTGGTAGCGTATCAAAAGCCTTTGAGAAATCCAGATATACCACATCATGTGAGTGAAGATTGACTTCTCCCTCTTGCCCTATATTTGGAGGTTTATAGCAAATACCCACGAGAAGTTTTCAGTAGAGAATACCACAGTTCATAATTTCTTTTATATGATTGGCCACAATCTTGTTACCACAGAATCCTGTGGAGATAATTACATTCCTCTATACATAAAGCATTAGTAGACTACAATTTCTGGAATATATGGGTTACAGAATAACTACAATTACTGTGATTTTTACATGTTTTTAGTGTACATTTGTAATGGTAACACTTAACACCATAGTTTGGGTAAATAGATATTACATAGATATTATACAATATAGTATAAATTTGATGTAGACTAAAACACAAGGAGGCACAATTGGACACATTTGCTACAATCCATGCCAGCAGGTGCATGCTGGGATCACATTTTTCTGTATATTCATGAAAAACAGCATACTCTCAACCTCCAGAAAGCAAGTCTCAGGAACATGTGCCTAGGTACATACACAATGCCCAGCCTGACAGGGTGGATGAATGTACATTTCCTGTGAAGAACTTTCTACTAGGTAGGGTGTGAACTGCTTCAGATGCATCTTCATGTGTGCATCCAGAGATTGCCATCATGAGTATTAATGCAAGCTGTTTGGAAATATATCTTTAGGTTTTTGAAATATAATAAAAAGAGTAATGAAAATATATTGTTCTAAGATTGCATGTTAGTTAGCAGCAAGAGAATTGCCAGGTCTCAGATTTTTTGCAATTATACAGAATTTGAATCTTTAATCAATGTAAATATATATATTTTTATTAT